GACATGTGTGATGATTTCTTGACCAGGATTTTTTTGTGTTTTCAGGTGTCCACTGTGAGGTGCAGCTAGTAGAGTCAGGGGGTGGCCTGGTCAAGCCTGGCGGGTCCCTGAAACTCTCCTGTGCAGCCTCTGGATTCACCTTCAGTGACTACTGGATGACCTGGTTCCGCCAGGCTCCAGGCAAAGGGCTGGAGTGGGTTGGAGAACTTAAATATGATGGCAGTACCACAAACTATGCACCATCCGTGAAGGGCCGGTTCATCCTCTTAGTTTTCTCACTGTTGTAGGAGTAGCTAGAACTTCCATGAATTAATGATATTTTCCACATTTGGTGGAAAAACAAGTTGCCTGTGTTTCATGCTTCCAACATGTGAATGTCTGTAATAGGGCACACATGGTTATTATTTTTCACTCAATGATTATTTGAGATTGCTTCCTTGTAAAGATTCATTTCTGACTCAGAGTCCCATGTAGTGATTCCTTTGAAGGTGTTTTGTGTACCTTCAGCTTGTGGGAATGTCTGAGTGTCCATTGGGCTCAGGCCAGATGATGTCATCTACAGTCTCTCTTCTAACTGCCTTCCATTGGCAACAGAGTTCCTTGTAACAGTTTTCTGCTTTCTGCTGATGTTTTCTTGTTAACTTTGACTGCATGGTTACTGAAATGGAACTTGTTGATGCAGCTAAAGGCAGAAAAACTGAAGTGTTTTCCTGAAAGATAGAGAAGCACCATTGGGGAAAGCGATGGTTGGTGCTGATTCAGGGTTAATGATCACAGATTTCAGTGATTTCATCTATGAATGTAAAGAGAATCTACTTTCCAAGCCAGAAAATCTCTAGATACAAATATAGTGACCTCATATGTGGGAAGAAATTTTGGGAAGTATTAAATTAATGAGATCATCACAAACACAACTCATTAACCAGTACAATATGAATGTGAAAACCAATGGACCCACTGTCTGTTCCCTAATGCCAGGGTGAGGTCAGCCTACATGGCTACCAGCAACATACCATGCCCAAGTGAACCTGCAGGTTGGGCACACTCTGGACACCAGGAATTTGTGGATTAGCTTCTGAATACCTCCCAAGTATACTGAAGAAAAGAGATAAATGTATGAGCAATATTTAATGAATGTGAAATGAGCTTGAATAGCTAGATTTGGGCAAAGTAGTCTTAAACAAAGACACAAGTGCAGATGATGCAAACGGTAATCACCAGCATTTACTCAACATGCCAAGGTTGCCTGATTATGGTCAGTGAGAATGGAATCTTAACCAGGCCAGGAAGGAGGGACCTTAGGAACACTGATACTGTGACATGCTTATTGCAAGAAATTGGACATTGTATACTCTTATCAGAAACAGAGTATAGTGGGGGTTGCCAGGAACAATGCAATGACATTTTCCAGGATACAAATGACATTTTTCAAATTATATGGGGCATGAAATCATTATGTCGTAGATTTTCTCCATCTTGGGTCCACTGGACCAGTTTTCTCTCCATTACTGGGTCCAGCAGCCACTTACTGAAATAACCATTCTGAGACTTAATATCAGTCATCATTGCTTGGGCAGTGGCTTAGGCTTCTCAATGGCTAGCTCTTTCTTAATTGTTAATCCAGTAGAAGAGTGCTTGCTTAGCATGTACAAGGAAATTTTTTAGTTTCCAGAACTACAGAAAAGAAGGGAGGCAGTCAGATCAAGGTGTTTGTTTTCCATTACTGCCATGGCCACTAATTTTTGGAATATAATAAAGATATCTGTTTTCTTTGTTAAAAGCAAAAAACACACTTCAGTGTAAGCCATGTCATAGCAACATGCAGGGGAGCTCAGAACCAGCAGGGGGCAGAAAGGAGCCAATAATCAATAGGATGGAAGTGAGATGGAGAGGAGGGGAGTGGAGGGGAGTGCAGGGGGCTCCATAGTCTCTGTGGTCTCCCTTTTTATAGTCTATTAGCAGAACAACACCCGCTACAGTTGACGTGTGATGTCTCCACGTTCAAACACTGTAAAAAATCTTTGTTAAATATCATACAGTTTCTCATTTACTTCATTAGGATTCATTTATTGATTTTTTTATCTTTTTGAAAACCATTTTTTCATACTATATATACTGACCATGGGTTCCCTGCCAGACTCCTTCCTAGTCCTATCTGTCTCCTCACCTAACTGCCATTCAAATCAACCAGCTTTCTTTCTCACTATAAAAAGAAAACACATATAAAAAAGAAAAGGATTTTAAAAAGCAAACAAGAAACACATGATAGCAACATGATCATACAACAATATTAATAGCTTGCATATGAACGAAGGTGGCAAATTCTCCTCATTTTTTGTGGAAATTTCAATTCACAAATATTCTTATCCCTATTACCAACCATGAATACATTTTGTCAGCAAGAGGACCAAATATCTCAGGTTGGGATTCTATTTGAAAAATGATGGATTAAGCTCACTTTATATCCACCACGATTGCACAGGTATCAGGAATGGATCTTTCCTCAGACAGGATAAGGATTTGGACCTCAGCATCCTGCTGCCTGACTCAGGTGTCCTCTACCTCCTTCTTCCCCAGCTGGACTAGGTCCTTATCTAAGAAGCACCCTGCTCATGAATATGCAAATCATGTGTGTCTATGGTGGTAAATACAGGGATGTCCACACCACCAACACATATGATCAGTGTCCTCTCCACAGTCACTGAGCACACAGGTCCTCACCATGGGGTGGAGCTGGATCATCCTCTTCCTGATGACAGAAGCTACAGGTAGGGGCTCCAAGTTCCAGACTTGAGGAGGGATCATGCACTCAGGTCACAGTGACATCCACTCTGCCTTTCTCTCCACAGGTGTCCACTCCCAGGTCCAGTTGCAGCAGTCTGGGGCTGAGCTAAGGAGGCCTGGAGCCTCAGTGAAGATGTCCTGCAAGACTTCAGGCTATACATTCACTGTCTATGTTATGCACTGGGTGAAGCAGAAGCCTGGGAAGGGCCTGGAGTGGGTTGGAGGGATTGATCTGGAAAATGGTGACACTAAATATGCTCAGAAGTTCCAGGGCAAGGCCACACTGACTGCAGACAAATCCTCCAGCACAGCCTACATGGAGCTCAGCAGCCTGACATCTGAGGATTCTGCAGTCTATTACTGTACAACAGACACAGTGTTGTAACCACATCCTGAGTGTGTCAGAAAACCTGGAGGGACAGGAAACTGCCCTAAGACTGATATGACAGAGAAGATCAGCCTGGGCAATTACTCAGAAATATTCAGTCTGTGTGTCCCTTTGACTGTTCCTCATCATAGTACTATAGTGATGTTGTCAACTTTCCCAAAGCAATGGATATGTGGCTATGAAGTGATACTAATTCAACATGCCCCTACAATGCACAAGGATTGATCACATCTTCATTGGTAACCACCTCCATTGACATGCTTCTTTAATGAAACAAAAATGAAGACAAGCTGTGTCGGTACATTATGATATAAACATCCTTTTAATCTAAGAGAGTTGAACTTTTTCTGGTGTAGCTGGGAATAACTTGTTATATCACTATTAACTGCAAAACATAATCAACTATACAGGGCAAACAAACTCCCTTTAAAAATTCAGTTCGCTGTATGTAATATCACAAAAATTACTGTGTTTGAAGTGGTTCCCATAGATTTGTGGGAACTTTACCTTTCCTCATGAATCTAATTTTATAGATTTATTTATAAGTAAGTCTAATTGAATTATTTTTGCTATTTGCAGTTAAGTTTCTTATTGTTTTAGTGTTCGAGATGTAGTTAAATGTCATGCTGTGGAGTCCTCGGGGTGTAGGATTTGCACTTTGGGCTGCTGCTCACATAACATTGGGACCAGAGCAGTAGGATTCCAAGCTGGGAATGTAAGAGGACTGTTCATGTCATCAGGAGCTCTGCTTACTCATTCTCCTGTTTCCTGAAGCTGGATTGTCTTCCGCACAAGTTCTTATCTGACATTAACTGTCATTGACTGGACATTTGTGGATGGTGCACAATACACCTCCCCCATACACAATATTGTTGTTCCTAGAGGCAGCAAGGACCACTTATGACTTCCCTTGATCTTTGCTCTATTAAATCCATGACATGTATGAACCCAATAATGGACAGAATTAGAAAAAAATAAAAAGAGTCTGAGTGAGGTAACCCATACATACAAAGACAAGCATAGTTTTGTACTCACTCATAAGTGGATACCAGACATAAAGCAAAAGACACACAGACTACAATCCTCAACCCCAGAGAAGCTTCAACCTTCCTCCAGAAACAGATGGAAGCAGATGCAGAAATCCACAACTAACCAATGGGCCAAGATCATGAAGTACAATCAAAGTGAGGGAGGAGAGATAATACGAACAAAGAAGTCAAGAGCATTATGAGCATTCTGGGGAAATCCACAGAATCAGCAGACCTGAGCTAGTGAGAGATCACTGATTAAGGTCTGACAAATAGGGAACCTGCAAAGACCAAAGTAGACTCCCTTAATATAGGTGATACTGGTGCAGCTGGGACAATGCATGAGGCCACTGGCAGTGGGTCCAATATCTAACTCTAGTGCACTAAATGACTTATTGGAGCCCATTCTCTATGGAGAGACCTTGCTCAGTCTAGACACATGGGTGTGGGGGTGGAGAAGCACCTTGGTCCTGCATCAATGAGATGATGGAGAGAATTAGTAGATTCCTAGGAGAGGTCTTACACTCTCCCAGGAGTAGAGAGGAGGGTGAGGGAGTAGGAGGAGCAAGAGGAGGGAGGAGAACTGGGATTAGAATATAAAAATTAATTAATTACAGAATAGTATTATGAAAAATATTAAGAAATAAATGAATGGGAATCAACCAAAAAATATACAGGAGTAGAAGAATTTGGTGGGTGTTTGGTCTAGGAAGTGGAGGTGGGATAGGCCAGTATGTATGTCCTTTGATCCCTGTAGTCCCCATGCTCTCTTCTTTCAGACTCACACTGTAGGAAGTCAGACACAGTGATAGCTGTGTTGTAATAAGGAAATGGAATGGTATCCACTCTCATCTTTTATAAGGACAAGACTGACTCCCCACATGCAAATGCATCTTCTAGTTGTAAGATAAATCCCATGCTGAGCTTTGGGAGCTCACATTTCTCTCACAGAAGACTGACATCTGAGAAAAGGGGGTGTAGCCTACAAGATGAGACTGTTGGGTCTTCTGTACCTGGTGACATCCCATGAGGGGATGTGACAACATGTGATTGACAGAATTGACTCTTCCTGTCTGCAGGTTTCCTGTCCCAGATCCAGCTTCAGGAGTCAGGACCTGGCCTGGTGAAGCCCTCACAGTCGCTGTCCCTCACTTGCTCTGTCACTGGTGAATCCATCACCAGTGGTTATGACTGGAGCTGGATCAGGCAGTTCCCAGGGAAGAAGCTGGAGTGGATGGGGTACATAGATATTGGTGGTGGCACCAACTACAACCCATCCCTCACGAGCAGCATCTCCATCACCAGAGACACATCCAAGAACCAGTTCTTCCTGCAGCTGAACTCTGTGACCACTGAGGACACAGCCACATATTACTGTGCAAGAGACACAGTGAGGGGACTTCAGCATGAGCCCAGACAAAAACCTCCCTGCAGAGGAGCTCTGGGCCAGCAGGGGGAGCTCAGACAATCTACTTTTCCAGGTCTGAGACTCCTCTGGATTCTATTATAGTGACCTCAGCTGTGTGTCAAGAATTTTTGGTGAACAAACAGACTATAGAATATGGGATTACTGGGTCTAGAGAGATGGCTCAGAGGTTAAGAGCACTAGCAGCTCTTAGAGGTCATGAGTTCAATTCTCAGCAACCACATGATGGCTCACTACCATTTGTAATGGCATCTTGTGCTCTCTTCTGGTGTACAGGCAAAACATGCAGATAGAACACTGTAAATATAATAAATAAATAAATAAAATTTAAAAAAGAATATGGGATTACTTGACATCAAGACAAACAGAACTCATTGAATATCACGGTGTAAAGTTGAAAACCAAGGGATCCACTGTCTGTTCCCTAACAACAGGGTGAGGTCAGGCCATATGGCTGCCAGTGACAAATGATCACCACAGTGAACTTGCAGTTTAGGCACACCCTGGACACCAGGATTCTGTGGATTAACTTTTCAATATCTCCCAGGTATTCTGAAGAAAATACATACATGCATGAGCAATATTTATTGAATGTGAGATGACCCATTTCTGCTGTGCTTAGGGAAAATAATTCTTCAACAACCATGTGAGTCCAGTTGATAAAAACCTTGTAAGCACCAGTTCTTACTCACCCAGGCAGAGTCTCTTGATTATGGTGAGTGATAACTGAATTTTAATGAGACCTAGGTGGAGGAAGCACAGCAAGGCTGAAGCTGTGACAAGTTTATTGTGGGAATCAAACTTCTTATACTGTCACCAGAAACAAACTGGGAAGGCAGGTGCTAGGAATATTACAGTGGTACTTTCCAGGATACAGTGATGATGCAATTATATAGGTATAAAATATTAATGTCTAGGACCAATTGTCCTGTCAGTCTTCTGTATGTTTCATGGAATTCTAGGGAAGATAGAGAAACAGAGGTGGCCTGAATGATTTACTGCCTGAGGGAGGGGCTTGTCTTGCCATGAACTGAAGAGCACACAGTGTCCCAGGAGCAACCAACTTTACCCTGAAATCCTATGCAATGTGCATCTCAGGGCAACTGGACTGGACCATCTACATGATTCCCTGCAAAATATTAAAAGTCAAGTAAAAAAACATTGACCATTTCTCCTAGGTAGAGTTATTTGTCATGCAGTAATTCTTTGTAGTGACTCTGTAGACCAGTGTGGAGTGTGGAGAAGTACCCAATGGCCACCAGGGAAGACCATGGCATTAATGGGAATAATAACAACACAGGGGCACTGAAAATGAGTCTCTGGCACATACATTTATTATCTACAGTAAAAGAAGGGATACTTTTTCTCCTCATCTGAGCTCTGTGAGCACTAGAGTAGCATGGGCGTGTTACTGCTCAAGAGAGACATTTCAACTTCAGAGTAAGTCATGACACACCAACCTGCATTGGAGCTCAGGACCAGCAGGGGATGCAAAGGAGCCAAGAATCAACAGCACAGACATGAGATGAGTAGTGAGGGACCCCATATCCTCTGTGGTCTCACTTCTTACATTCTATTAGCTGAACACCTGCTGCAGATGAAATGTGAGATCTCCAGTTTCCAAACACGTAACAATTACCTGCTAATTGTTGAACAGATTTTATTTCACCATTTAGATTTTTATTAAGATTTAATTTTTTTTTGTTTTTTGACAAATGTATCATTTAATATAATTGATTCTCATCAGTTTCCATGCTTAACTCATCTCTGATTTTTCCCATGATGCTCCTCCTCAACTCCATGACTCTTCTTTCTCTCTATAAAAAGTAAACTACTGGACAAAAAGAAAAGGATTTAAAACAAAATAAAAAACGCCAGGGACACACACCTGTAACCTACTGTAAAATCAAATGTTAACTGTTTGTACATGAAAGGAAACATCACAATTTCATCTAATTTAGCATTTTTTGAAATTTCCATTGACAGTGGTAGTGATGAGTAGAACTGTCAATCAATTTAATCAGGAAAAGGAACTAGTATTTGATTGGGATTCTATTTCTAAATTGAGTGATTATACATTGATATTATATTCTCAGGGTCTACACAGGTCTCGCTGCAATTCAGGAGTTAAGCTAATAGTATCTATTTATATTCTCACAGATGCCAGAAATTTGTGAATTGTAACAGGACATGTCTCTATATTACTTAAGTAGGCATGCACTCTTGTCCATTGCAACCTATGATAGCCATCAACATCCCATGTCCTGGAGTATGAAATCCAACTTTATAGATATTACTTATCCCAACAGAAATTATGAAATATAAAGATAAAAACATTCATCACCCTGTTTGAGGGGATGAGTGTTCCTCCATAATGAGAAGAGGTGAACTGACAGACCTCAGGACATCATATCAATCCTGACCAGTGACAAATGAGAAGGCATGAACCACAAGATTCCCAGGTCTTTCTATCCTGCAACATTAGGTGCATCTGATTCCTGACCTGATATTAGGGGGAAATATTCATGAATAGCCTGTGTTTA